ATGTTGTAAGCTGTCCTTCCACTCGTTGCTGAGGTGGTCTGTCCTGAGCATCCTCACAGATACCACTGCCTTACTCTCTCGCCTAGTACAATGTTTGCAATCTTCAGGACAAGGTCTCCTTGACTATGCATCTGCGTTGCCATACGATTTCCCGCCACGGTGTTCAATCACAAAGTCGTATTCCTGCTGCTGGGTGGTGCTGTTAGCCGCACAACCCTCTCGAGATCGATCACCTTCCCTTTTTACAGATCGCTTAGGGTAGCTGGATCGAAGATGGCCCCTTTCCCCACAGCCGTAGCAACTTGGGCTGTAATTTTTATTGTGGTCGCGAACCGTAACTGCTGCAACCTCCCTAACGTGAGGGAAACGATGATCTCGCCGCCGCCAGGCGGTACCGTTAGCTGCACTATCCTTTCGAGATCGATCAACTTCTCTTTCCACAGTTCGCTTGGGGCAGCTGGATCTAAGATGGCCCCCTTCACCACAGCCATAGCACCTAGGGCTGTATCCATTATTGCGGTCGCGAACTGTAGCTGCTGCAACCTCCCTGATACGATGGGAACGATGATCCTGCCGCACGGCTTCCACCTCTAGTGCATGGACCAAGGCGTCCTTAAGCGCCTCGTGGTGCCCGAGCCTCACAGCAGCTCTGAATTCAAGGTCGCGGATGCCGTCGATGAATGTCTGCACCAGGTTCCCTTCAATGAGCGCAAGTACAGACCAGTATGCTTTTCCCACCAGCTTCTCCACCTCTAGAGCCCACTGATGCAGGTTTTCGTTGATGCGCTGCACGCGATCTTTAAGCTGCGCACGAAAGACGTGTTCCAGGTGAGCGTCACCATATCTCGCATCCAATGCCTCAAGGAGTTGCTCATAAGTCATTTCCTCACCGAGATCTTCCAGAACTGTTAAGGCCTGGTCGTGCAAGCCTAGTGTGAGAGCAGTCATGGCCTGACTTTTATTCCAGCCGTTCTCCTTCATAACAGCCTCGAACTGGATTTTGTAGGCTGACCAGGAAGAAGTCCCGTCGAACGGCGGCACTTTGAACCCACGCAGCGAAGGTGTTGTAGCTACTACGGGAGCTGTAATTCCATCCCCCAGTTTGAGGTCGTCCAACGTTTTCTTCACGTCAGCCGTCACGTTGTCAACCCGATTGTTCACTTGATCGATTCTGGTTTCAGCTTTCTCGATTCGGGTTTCAGTTTTCGCGATTTGGGTTTCAGCTTCCGACATGCGGTTGTCATTCTGAGCAACCCTATCTTTCACCTTCTTTATCTCCTTTCCGAAGGTAGCGTGAAGGTCCTTCACGAAGAGCATCTGCTCTTCCAACCGACGGGCCTGTTCCTCTTGTCCGCCCCGCAGCTGCTCTTCCAAACGACGGGCCTGTTTCTCTTGTCCGCCCTGCAGCGGCTCTTCCAAACGACGGGCCTGTTCCTCTTGTCCGCCCCGCAGCTGTTCTCTTCCAAACGGCGGGCCTGTTCCTCTTGTCCGCCCCCCCGCAGCTGCTCTTCCAAACGACGGCGCCTGTTCCTCGCAGCATCACCATCAGAGCACCTAAGTCAGGTGCTGCAGATGTAGGAGCTACTGACGGGCCTGCAGCCGGCCGCTGGCCCTCCGACGTCTGCGGCGTTGCACCACCAAATCCTCTTTGGTCCGTCCCTTGCTGGCGTTGACTTCGGTTACGGACATCCTCCGTTACCTCCTTAGGTAAAATCGGCATGATTTTATCCCACTTCTGACACCAATTGTTACGAGCTTAGGGTTCGCGACAATAAAAATTGCCGATAGAATTACCAAAATTAACACTTTAATTCACTTTACACTAATTGAAACTCAAAAGACACTTATAGTTTAAATCGCACTGATTCACTTTATTTCGCTCCGAAGCTTCGCTTGTCTCGCCAAATTCAATACTGCCCCGGTCGCGTATTGCAGCGCCTTTAAATACGTCTTTTCACCGAAACATCCAGAATATTCAAGTAAATACGCGCGCCAATCGACCAGGCACCGAAAGTTCAAGTGTAGGGCTTCTAAAAAGCTTGGTTCTTCAATTCAATACTAGATGGCGCTGTCGGTTGAAAGATTAGTCATGTCATTTTCTGGAAAGCTCTCCTCGCTCTGTTACCCGACACTAGATGGCGCTAGTGCCAGACGTCAATAGTTAGGGCGCAACAATAGTTTCTTAAGATTCAATCGAAGCTCTTCAAATCGTTCCTTCCTTCATCATTCCTTCTAAGTGTGGACTTTTTAGGAAACACCATGTTTGGTCAAATCGATCGTAAATATACTTGTGTAGCTTCGTTATCGAAAAATGAGAAGGGAAGATATTTTTTCACCATCCAATTAACTGTAGCTGTCATGATTTTGTCACTGCTATTTTCTGACCGAAATAAAACAGTAAATCATGTCTCTCGCCGATTATAAGAAGAAAAGAAAATATGGGTACATATTTAACACTATGATCTATATATATATATATATATATATATATATATATATATATATATATAAAAGTCACTCGCTGACTGACTATCACGATATCCCAGGAACTATAAAACATACAAACTTGAAGTTTGAAAGGTAGGTTTCTTTTATGGCGTAAAGGTCAGCTAAGAAATAATTTTGAGAAATTCACCCCTAAAAGGTTGAAATGGGGGTTGGAAATTTGTATGAAAGTCCTATGTTTTTGAAGTTGGAGACATGAAAATCGGCAGCTAAGTTTAGTTATATGTATAAGCAATTTTACGAAAATCTAACCATAAGGGTTGTACCCGTAAGGTTGGAAGTTTGTATGAAAGTCCTACGTTTTTGAAGTTGGAGACATGAAAATCGGTAGCTAAGTTTAGTTATATGTATAAGCAATTTTACGAAAATCTAACCATAAGGGTTGTACCCGTAAGGTTGTTTGTATGAAAGTCCTACGTTTTTGAAGTTGGAGACATGAAAATCGGCAGCTAAGTTTAGTTATATCTATAAGCAATTTTACTAAAATCTAACCATAATGGTTGTACCCGTAAGGTTGGAAGTTTGTGTGAAAGTCCTACATTTTTGAAGTTGGAGACATGAAAATCGACAGCTAAGTTTAATTATAATGTATAAGCAATTTTAACGAAAATCTAACCATAAGGGGTGTACCCGTAAGGTGTGGAAGATTTGTATGAAAGTCCTACGTTTTTGAAGTTGGAGACATGAAAATCGGCAGCTAAGTTTAGTTATATGTATAACTAAAATTTTACGAAAATCTAACCATAAGGGTTGTACCCGTAAGGTTGTTTGTGATGAAAGTCCTACGTTTTTGAAGTTGGAGACATGAAAATCGGTATTAAAGTTATAATTTGTAAATAATAATAACCTGCATAAGCTATTTTTCCAAAAAATCACCCAAAAGGGGTGAAATGTGGGATGAAAATTTATATGAAAGTCCTATGTTTTTGAAGGTAGAGGCTTGAAAATCGATATTCAGGTTATTAGTTTTAAACAATAATAACCTCTATAAACATTTTTACGAAAATCCAGCCTAAATAAGGTGAAATCGGGTTGCAAGGTGACATGAAAGTTCTAAGTTTTTGAAGTTAGAGATATGAAAATCGGCATTAAAGTTATAATTTCCACAAAAGGAATCACAAAGAAGAAATATTTTGTGATTCCTTTTTGTGGAAAGTATTACATGCTTCCTTAAGCCTGAAATGTTTCTGTTTTTCATATTTATTTCAACCATTTTATGTGTGCACAATTTATACAAAGCAATTTGGGATGCATGAATTATTTCGAATAACTCATCGTCTTTTATATAACTCTTACTGATTAAACTTTCGTCACTCATGTCAAATTGTAAACTTATCACTCCAAGAACAACAAGGATTAAAGTAAAAACAATTAATAACATTAGACTCCAAGAAAAGGTCACTTGGAAACGACGGGAATTAAAATAAACACTAATATTTGTAAGTACAAGCCAAAAACCGACAAAAGAAAGTTCAGCATCGTTTGATAAAAATAATGATTCTTCGGAAGATTAATAAAACTAATGCGTTACCAGATAGGTATAGTGTGCTACATAACAGTGAAATGTAAATATGTAAATAAATTCTGTATATTATGTTCTTCTTGTGTGGGACTTAATCTACGTTAATTAAATTAAATTTGCCTAGGTGCGTTACTTGCGTTATTTACCTTTCTAGGAACTTACTAACTACTAGAGTATGATAGAAGTTAATAAACCGACACTGCTAATCAATCACTGCTAATCAAAACAAAATGTGCGAATATGATTTCACTCATGCGAAATTCAAAATTCAAATATTTTTCGTATAAGTTGACATTAATTATATTTCATCGCTTCATTTTTCACATATAATTATTTACCAGATAGTCCCCTTAACCTACAGGTGACTTTGCACGCTTTAAAAGACACTCAACTGACTAAACTAAGTTGGCTGTGAACCGACTTACCCCTACCACCGCTGACTCGGGGACTGAATGAGTCGCCATTCTGAGCTCATTCCTTTTTCGTGCACGGAGACGACAGCACGCGTCTCCCAATAAGTTTACACTTTATTCTTGCCCTTTTTTTTTTTGTAAAGTATTTATAATTATAATTAAAATATATAATGCCAAAACGAAGTGCGGAAGAAAAAAATCGAGCGTTACGAACGCAAAATTAGAAAATTACGTGAACGCGATGTAGCACGACATCGCCGAATACGGGTTATATCATCACAATCTTCCAATAATGAAGGTAAGCATATTTATTTTTGTATAATAACGATTCACTACGAGTCAAGATTACGTAACATTTGTTTCGTTAGCACGTGTTGTTTTTTACACGTGTTATCAGCTTTCATCAGAACAGGCCGTGAGCCTTCTTTGTTGAAAAAATTACCATCATCAGGACAGGCCGTGAGCCTCGTTCGTTGAAACAAAATTCTTCATCAGGGTAGGCCGTGAGACTCGTTCGTTGCAGTAATCCAATTTTCTAATCCCAAAAATATTATTTTTAGGTGTTGAAGACGCCGACCACCTTGAACTAAGCCTTATAGTTAACACGAAGGACCTCGGGATTGCTTCAGGGCAGAGTCCCACAACACCTGAGCCCATGCTGGAGCCCGAGCTTATACGGGAACCTGAGCCCACACTGGAGCCAGAGTCTAGACCAGGGACCAGGGCGGAGAAACCATTAGAGCCACTGGCTTTAGAGGCAACTTCGACGGAACAAAACCCGAACGGTGCATCATCCGAACCAGAATTGGACCCTGAACTTTTAGAAGCCCTCGGTGAGTCCACCAGCGATACCCCAGAGTTTGGAGAAAGAATTCACGAGAGTTAACCCAAATTGTGGCTTCCTCTACTTGTCAAAAGCTTGCCAAAAGATAAAAAGGAAAAAATTCTGAAGGAGTACCTAATCCCGGCCAACTGTAGGTTACTGCAAGTATCTAAACTAAACGCAGAAATATCAGCAGCAGTTATAGACTCTGTAAGAAACAGAGATAAGATCCTGATAGTTCACCAACAGCAACTCGGGTCGGGGATAACGGCCATTAACAGGGCGCTCAATATTCTCTTAAGTGGGGACGACAAGAAGAACGCTATCCAACATCTTAGCAATGCCTGTCGTATTCTTTCAGATTTGCATACGATAAATACGAATAGCCGCATAAAGCTAATTGCACCAAACCTGGATAAGAACTTTCTCCACGTAGTTCAAGATTCAGTAAGAGACGAAACTTTGTTCGGTAACAAACTTTCAGAAAAGATCAAGGCAGCCAGAGCTATTGAACGCCAGGGTCTGCAAATCAAAAAGATTAATCCGAAACCTTCCGGCTATCATTCCACTAGCAACCGCTCTTCTAGTTCGGGAAACTGGTCCGGCCCACGTCGGTACTCAACGAACCGCTGCAACCGAGGTGGGAAGAAAACGTCGACGCAGAGCCGCCGTTCATACCCGAGCTCGGCGCAACAGCAGCCAGCGTCGAAGCCTTCAGCAGCGAACAAGTCTCGTGCCCCAGCGCCGCAGTAACTCAGGTACATGCAGGTAGAATTAAATACTTTTTTTAATTGTTGGACGAGAATTTCATCCAATTCAGTAATTTTAGATTGGATACAAAACGGTCTATACATACTTTTTGCAAGGAAGTCTGCCAAACAAACGTTCCTAGCAATACCCTTTCGGAGTTAGAGCACCAGGAAATGTCAACTGCGATTCAAAAGCTGATTGACTTAGGTGCCATAACAGAATGTCTTCCAAGTAGAGACCAGTTTGTCTCTAAAATATTCCTTGCCTCCAAGACAAACGGCGGCAAGCGTTTTATATTAAATTTGAAATCGTTAAATAAATATGTTTCAAAGTTTCATTTCAAGATGGAAGATTATCGAATAGCAGCAAAGTTAATACCCCAATACGGATACTTAGCCACAATTGATCTGAAAGAAGCCTACTTACTAATTCCGATTCATGCTGAACATAGAAAGTATCTAAGATTTCAATTTAAGAGAAACAATCAGACCACGACCTACGAGTTTACGTCAATGCCCTATGGGCTGTCAGTGGCTCCCATGGTATTTACTAAGATTATGAAAGAAATCGTAACTCACTTGAGAAGCGCGGGCTTTAATTCAGTAATTTATCTAGATGATATTCTCTGCATCGGCAACACTTATGAGGATGCAGATCTAACGTAAATGAAACCTTGAAACTATTGCAATGTCCAGGTTTCGTTATAAATGTTGATAAAAGCTCGCTCCAACCCAAGCAAAGTTGTAAATTCTTACGTTTTCTCTTTTGCACTAAGAATCTAAACATTTCTCTCCCAGATAATAAACGTAACAGTATTGCGCAATTAGTTCAGAAGTTTATTTGTCTACCCGCATGCACTATTCGAGAATTTGCTCAATTAATTGGTGTTCTAACTGCAGCGTGCCCGGCTGTCCAATACGGTTGGTTATACACCGAGTTATTGGAACGTCAAAAATATCTCGCGCTACTTGAAAATCAGAATTATGAGAGTAAAATCAATTTACCTAGTATTATCCTTGAAAATCTTACTTGGTGGACCAATAACATCAAAACAACATTACATCCACTGCGAAACGCCGGCTATAAAATTGAAATCTACACAGATACTTCACGAACCGGCTGTTGGTCAGTTAGCGAACGCAATTACCATATAAATTATCTGGAACTATTGGCAATTTTTCTTGGATTCAAAAACTTGGCATCTAAAGAAACTAATTGCGCGATACTATTACAGGTAGATAACACTACAGCCATTAGTTATGTAAATCGCATGGGCGGGGTACAATTGCCCCACTTAAACGGGATCGCTCGGCAAATTTGGCAATGGTGCGAGAAGCGAAAAATTTGGATCTACGCGTCATACGTCAATACTAAAGAAAACTGGGCTGACGCTGAATCTAGAATTATAATCCCTGACACCGAATGGGAACTCTCCTCTTCCAGTTTTCAAACCATTGTGTCTCATTTTGGTCAGCCAAATATCGACTTATTCGCCTCCCGCACTAATGCCAAATGCACAAACTTTGTTTCTTGGAGACCGGATCCAGATGCAATGGCGGTAGATGCTTTTACTATAAACTGGAGCGGATGTTATTTTTACGCATTCCCCCCATTTTCCATAATATTAAATTGTTTAAGGAAAATAATGGATGACAGGGCTCACAGAATCCTTGTTTTTCTTTATTGGCCTTCACAGCCCTGGTTCTCCTTACTACAAGGGTTATTAGCATCTGATATTCTGTTCTTGCGCCCTAACAAGAATCTTTTACGATCACATTCCAGGGAACACCACCCTTTACACGCGAGCCTTACCTTGGGTGCCGCGAGGCTCTCCGGCAAGCTTTCACCCGAAGATGCCCACCAGAGGCCCTCAACCTCATGCTAGCATCGCTCTCCGATAGCACGGTAAAACAGTATAATGTTACCTATAAAGCATGGTGGCGGTTTTGTGACAACAGAAATATTAATCCATTTCAACCATCTATATCTCCTTTTTTATCCTTCTTGACTGACCAGTTTAATGCCGGTTGTTCTTACGGAAGTCTCCATTCGCATAGATCAGCGCTATCATTACTTCTCGGAAATAATATTGGTTCCGATGAACATGTAAGTCGGTTGCTAAAAGGAGCTTATAAATTAAGGCCAAACATTACAAAATATACACAGACCTGGGACCCTCAAAGTGTTTTAAATCACCTTGCAGGGTGGCATCCCAATACGACTTTAAATCTGGAAAAAATTACAAAGAAAATAAGCAATTTTATTAGCCCTCTGTACAACCCATAGAGTACAAACGCTATCATTAATTAAAGTTGGAAAATATATCATTTTCTCACAATAACGCTAAGATCAAATTTACTGATCTAATAAAGACTTCCACCCCAGGCCGAGAGCAACCTGTACTCCTGATACCATTTTTCTTAGAAAATGTGAATATTTGCCCAGCTACCATTCTAAAAGATTATATTTCTGTCACAGAAAGTAAAAAGAACGGAAAACATAGGCAAACTGTTCCTCACTTACAAGCCACCACATAGACCAGCCACGACGCAATCAATCAGTCGATGGATTAAACAAGTGCTCTCGGAAAGCGGCATGGATACGTCAACGTTTGGCGCCCACAGCATTCGCCACGCCCCTACCTCAGCTGCGGGTCGCGCGGGCCTCAGCGTTGATGTCATCCGTAAAGCTGCCGGATGGACTCCTACATCGAATACTTTTGCGCGATTTTACAATAGAACCCTTGTTGATGAGGGGAACTTTGCAAGATCCGCTTGCTTTACGTCCAATCACTAGTTTAAGATTTTTTCTGTATTCATAAATACAAAAACTATTTGTTCAAATTATCGTGATTACATAACGTTTCATGTACCGATCGGTAACTAATAAATATATTCTAAGAAATATATATTATTTTATTACAACGAAAAACTTCCTGCTCTAAAATTCTACCTGGTGAATAATTATATCTGAAAAATGAAGCGATGAAATATAATATAAGATCAAACGAACTTCTCAAGTGAAGTTCGATCATTATTATATGAATCGCTTCATTTGAAGATATAAGCCATTACCCACCCTCCCATAGCAGTAGTTTGCTAGCCCTAATACGGAAAGTTTTTCTCTACACTCTAAAAATAATGAGCTCAGAATGGCGACTCACTCCGTCCCCGAGTCAGCGGTGGTAGGGGTAAGTCTGTTCACAGCCAACTTAGTTTAGTCAGTTGAGTGTCTTTTAAAGCGTGCGAAGTCACCTGTAGGTTAAGGGAACTACCTGGTGAATAATTATATCTTCAAATGCAGCGATTCATATAATAATGATCGAACTTCACTTGAGAAGTTCGTTTGATCTTATAAAATACACTTTTGAATAGTCATATAATCACTGTTTTCTCCAATTTCTTTTCTTTTCCATGTCCAGGGGTTCTGATTCTACTGAGAAGAATCATGGAAGAAAGTAAGAAACTCAGTAGTTGCTCTTTTCAAAATATTTTTACAATAGTACTATAATTATGTAAAGCGATAAGTCAAAGTAGATACTAAATCGGTATAGAAATTTCTAATTAGTATATATACTACTATGTGGTAAGAGAGGTCAGTTCCAAGCATTTTTGTCATTAAAATAGTACCTACTTACTATCCTTTTTTGGCTAAATAAGCTTTAATGTGCGACTTAAATTGAAAAGGTGAAAGATCTAACATTTCTTTTGGAATCTATGTAGTTATAAAAGCGTATACCGCTACCCAAGAACGAATTGTATACCGCTACCCAAGAACGAACTGTATACCGCTACCCAAGAACGAACTGTATACCGCTACCCAAGAACGAACTGTATACCGCTATCCAAGAACAAACTGTATACCGCTACCCAAGAACGAACTGTATACCGCTACCCAAGAACGAACTGTATACGGCTACCCAAGAACGAACTGTATACCGCTACCCAAGAACGAACTGTATACCGCTACCCAAGAACGAACTGTATACCGCTACCCAAGAACGAACTGTATACCGCTACCCAAGAACGAACTGTATACCGCTACCCAAGAACGAACTGTATACCGCTACCCAAGAACGAACTGTATACCGCTACCCAAGAACGAACTGTATACCGCTACCCAAGAACGAACTGTATACCGCTACCCAAGAACGAATTGTATACCGCTACCCAAGAACGAACTGTATACTATGTGTAACCGGAAAGCGGGTAATGTGATTTTGTTTTTATTTCTACTATTAAAAGTGTGCAATTCATTATTCTTTACATTTAAGTGACTGTTTTGTCGTACATACATGATATTTGCAAATATAT